TTCCCTACTCACTTGTTTCACCTTCTCCTCAAAGTCAGCGTCGTTGTGGTCCGAAATCATCTGTGCAAGTCGAATCTGTTCTGCAGTGGCCTAAGGAGATTGAATGTAGAAAAAAGGGAGTACAGTTAGAGCAGCGCATTTCAAACTAACCCTCCTCCAAAGGTCATACAGCTTCGCTGAGAACACTGGAAAGGAATCAATATGATGAAGACAGAGGCGCAAACGTGGGTCAGAAAGAGGAAATCTTCAGAAAGAAAGTCAGACAAAAGAAGAGCAAGTGAGGGACATCTAGAAGAAGTGAAATACCATTGGATAGCCTCTCTATAACGGCCGAGCCAAAAATCACCTAAACTGTTTTTTCCGATTTTGAGGTAGACCTTAACACCATCAGAACGTCATGGCAAACTCTGCATGCGGCTTCTCAGCCGCTTGCATTTATTAAAACAAACAGGGAATGGTCAGCTAGAAGTAACAAAATTTCAGCACCGGCTCCCACTTGGAGGCACTAATGCAGAAATCTCACCATGTCAGTGGCAGCCCAATTAACCTGCCTCTAAGAGCAGCACCCTGCAGCACACAGGAAGTGATTCTAGGAGTTCGTTAGGCCAAGCCCAGCTCTTAGCCACAAGCACTTGGGCCAGGTAGGAGTGCCAGGTCTCCACCTCCAAGCTAGCTCGTTTCCATGGATGCTCCCCTTACCTGCGGCCGCTGCTTGTGCTGCGTCTGGCTCTGTGTCTGTGTCTGCTCCCAGTTCCCCCGGGCTCGGTTAGTGCCCACCGATGTCATCATTTACAGTATATACAAATAACAGTATTTACAAGGTAGAACTCTGTGGTGGGTCAGGGGAGAAGAGAGAACAGACTGTTAGAAACTGAAAACAAAAGGCAGCACCAAGATTGAACAATCAAGAGGGCAAGACAGCAAGTAAAGCCATCACTGTCCCCACCCTCCCCTCTGCTTCCCCCAAACCACTGCAGGCCAAGATTTCCACGTGCATCCAGGATAAAAAGGCCACCTGTCCTTTTGGAATTTTCTCCACTACTAGCACACAATCTCAGAAATGGAGTATTCCAAACAAAACATTATCGCCTCATCTCCCCCACCTCACCTACACAACCTGCACCCAAATGACAGCAATCAGGACCTAAGAGCAGAAGTACTTTGTCTTAAAGGTTTAATGATTCACTGCTAAAAACACAAGCAAGTGTATGAACTGGCATGAATTTACCAGGAAAGGAGCCTTAAGAGGCGAGAGCGATGAGCTCTAGCAAGGAACACTTCCAAAAGCCCCAAAGAAACTTCACTTGGAAAGTAAAACATCTCAAAGCCTCAAACCTATCAACTGAATTTCTAACTGCTTTTCTGTCTTTGTTCACCTTCAAAGTAGCAAAAACATTCTGGTTTGTTACTGCTTACTGGTTTGTGGGAAGTTGTTTAGAAAAAAAATATATATATACATACACACACACACACAGTGTCCATGTGGAAAGACATCTTTCTGCTTATTTCATTCATTAATCAGACCTAGAAATATTACTCTAGAATACTCCAAACTGAATAGAAGAAAACGTGCTATGAAAATGAGGACGATTTCAACAACAAATAACAGCTAGTGATATTGTTTTATAGCTGTTTGATGCAAAAAATCCTAATAAAGAGTTTAGGACATGAAAAACTAGCAAGTGAAATCTTATAACCTTAAACCAGGGCTCTGGGGGAAATTCCAATACTGACAGTTAAAATGGGATTGACAGTGAATAATCTTACACTACCTACAAATCTCTCGAGAATAAGGAATGCCAGGTACATTCTAAGGCACTAGGCCAGACTTGCTATTTATGAGCCTCTGAAAACTAAATAACTGCAAACTCAACTTTCTATGATTTTGTTAATAGGACTAATAAACCTTCCTCCAAAGCAACAGGTTCTACTCCAGTTGCTAGTGCTGCTCACAGAATTCTTTGAGTAGATGAAGGAGACCGACAGATTTTAAGAATGGGGGGGAAATCCAAGCAAGAAGATCCAACTGCCAAGATACGACCTGAAACTTTGCTTGTAAAGTCAGTATTGCAGCACAAAGCAAGACCCAACGTGCAGCAGAAAGAAAGTGAGAAAAGCTGAAAAGCAGCATTAGCAAAGAGCACTGTAAACATTGGGGAATCTTTCTTTTCAAAGTCCACGAGCAGAGAGATCAGCAGAGGTTCAGAAACCTTTCCTTTGGAGCACAAAGACCCCAACATCACCTCTGCACTGTGGTTTGATACACACAATACTATTTTGCTGTCCCAGCTTGCATCAGCATCCATTGTTCACTTGTATTCAAATTTTCAAATGCAATTGCTCCTGTAGCTTCCCACAAAACCTCAAAAGTTCACCGTTTGGGGCAACCCATGCCTCGCGGCAATTGAAAAACACAGTTTTACGGTTACACAACTCAAAAATCTGGGCTCATTAGAAAATAACCCGTGCTACCTATCCATTCAACAAGAGCATTTGAGGTGCACGTAACAAAGAACAGACTTGACCAAGAGTACCAAACCTTAACGTTCACCAAAGTCAGAAAACAAAAAGCCTCTTGGGATACATAGCAAACCCTCCCACACTCGATACCGGATTCTTCCCCCTGGTATTTATTCTTGCTCCCCACTGCTGCATCTCTTCCAGTTCTAAGTATCTCACATACAAACAAGTTGTCACATTAAAGCAATTTGGCAGCAGAATTGCAGGCCCAGAGGGAAGCAGTATTGCATGTTTGCAGTAACTTAATCTGCAATTTCAATAGGATATAGTTCTACTAGTCTGCTGCCCTAAACCTTTGTGCAGTAGCTGGGCATTGTTCAACAGCTGCCACGTTCTGCTCCTGCCCCAGCTGCGTTTTACTGACAGTTAAGTACTTTTTTTTTAACATGTAAAAATACAATAGGTATCTCCTCACGTAAACATCAGTCAGGCCTGGATCCTACAAAGGCCTTCAGGCAAGTGTGCATGTCCACGCAACACCCCACGAGTCTCTTTGAGGGAAGAGGACTTGTCTACTGATCATTTATTCCTTAATCACACAACTCGCTGTAGTACAGCTCACAGGCAATATTTAAATGCAAATATTAAGTGATTATTCTGACACCTGAACTGTCACTGCACAGAAGGAAAGACAATCTGATTTTAACAGCTGGTTCAAACAAGCATTTACCAAAACTGTTTTACACATATCCTAAAAAAAAAAAAAAAGAGAGACATAATAAAAAAGGCAATTCTAGAGAGCCGAAGTAAATTCTTGAATGAAACATAGCAGAGAAATAACGTTAAACCAGGCTGACTTTTACATTTCAAGACAATAGTAAAGCAAGGTATCTGTACACAATTTACGGACAAACAAGAAACTTCACAGCTACGGGTTACAAGATCTTTTCTTCAGAGAAGCTGCAACTAAATTTAACGCACTCTGTAGATTTCCCTTTTCATATTAAATCACTATTTGCTTCTCACTTCCTAGGTAGAGGAGATTCTCATCTACACAAAACGATAAGCGCCATGCGGAGTCTTCAGAAAAAGAGGTGATACAGAAACATAACAAAACGGTTAATTTTATTAGAAATTTCAGGTAAGTTACAATTTTAGAACAATGATCTGTCAATCACATTCACTATTTCCAGTTCTGTTAGACTTGCCAGGTGATGCAAGTCACAGCACCTCCCAGCCTCAGTTTCCCTTATGCGTGAAGGCAGAAAAGCGGCATTTCCATACCCCCTCCACCAAAGCTTAATTAACATTTGCAAAAGGCTTTAAATGGAAGGACAAACCATTCAGCACGACCATGCGGCACCGCGGGGGGAGAACGAGCACCAGGAAGAGCCTGGCGCAGCGGGATGGTTTACCAGCGATACAAGTTTTGCCCCGGTGCAAACGCAGGGCAGCTGCAAGTCAAGTAACTCGCACATACGTGGAAGACAAGTTGTTGGTTTGTTGTTTTTTTTTTTTTTTGTGGGGGGGAGTGCTGCAAAATAAGCCATTATAGAACCGGAGTTTAGCATCAATGCATACTGCTTTATTAAATAAGCCTCACCCGGGCAGCTCTATAGCCCGAAAACGCACGAAGATAACACAGGAAAGTGCTTCCAACCGGCGTGGAAGCAAACGAAACCGGCGGGGACCCCGGGAGGACAGAGACCCGGCCCCGAACCCCGGGAGCC